TTTTTAATTATACAGGCTACACATTGCCCCCCCAGCAAGCTGGGTACTCATTTTACCGACCTCGGAAGGATGGAAGGCTGAGTCAACCTTGAGCCGGCTACCTGGGATTTGAACCCCAGGTCGTGAGCACAGTTTTAGCTGCAGTACAGCGCTTTAACCACTGCGCCACGAGGCTCCTTCTGGTCTGCAGAACATGTCTGGAGAACTGAATAGCCTCTAAGAGGTTGGTCACTTGTACTCTAGAGCAGGATTCCCCAACCCCCGGTCCGTGGCCTTGCCAGGACCATGCTGCAGAGACTAATCTCCCCCCCTGCATGGGCAGATACATGCATGCTCCTCCCATGCATGCATGGCTCCTCCCACGGACCCCCATCTGCCCTCCCACCCACTAAACCGATTTGTGGAGGCAAAAAGGTTGGGGACCACTGCTCTAGAACACTGCTCTGTCGGTCCAGATAGGCGGGGTATAAATCAAATAAATAAATAAATAAATAAATAAATAAATAAATAAATAAATAAATAAATAAATAAATAAATAAATAAATAAATAAATAAATAAATAAATAAATAAATAAATAAATAAATAAATAAATAAATAAATAAATAAATAAATAAATAAATAAATAAATAAATAAATAAATAAATAAATAAATAAATAAATAAATAAATAAATAAATAAATAAATAAATAAATAAATAAATAAATAAATAAATAAATAAATAAATAAATAAATAAATAAATAAATAAATAAATAAATAAATAAATAAATAAATAATGTTTATAAAGTCCTGGTCTTGTTTGGGGATTTTTCTGTTTCCAACACATGCACATACTGTTGCACTTCTAAAAATAGCCAGATTGAAGTGGGGTCATAGTTGACATGTATAGGTTCCTCCTGACCTTCACAAAGTAACAGATTTTGTTTGTTGCTTTGTAATGGCTAACATAGGAGGAAATAGAATGGTCTTGTAGAACAGAAATCCAGGATGTGCCCTAATTAATTGTATTGCTAAATAAGTACCCTTTACTCTTTATCATGTGAGAAGACAGCAGGTGTACAGGCTCTGGGGCTGAAGGCAAAAGACTGCCTTGTGGTCTCCCTTAGTGTGCTGACTAATTCAATCAGCTTCTTCTTCAGATTGCACTTGTGGACTCTCAAAAGGGAATCAGTTGATTTGGTGTAAATGACAGTCTTAGGAAATTAATACCTAAAGATTTGGCAGCACTTAACAGTTTGTGGTATTTTGGATGAGGTGAAACCTGTAGGTCGCCTTTTGATAACCATGCCTTTGTTCTGTCTAGGTACTAATAGTGTGCAGCACCGGCTTGGCGGGGATCATGCTGCTGAACTACCAGCAGGACTACACCGTGTGGGTGCTGCCACTCATCATTGTCTGCCTGTTTGCATTCCTGGTGGCTCACTGTTTCCTGTCTATTTATGAAATGGCAGTCGATGTCTTGTTCTTATGCTTTGCCATTGACACTAAGTATAATGATGGGAGCCCAGGGAAGGAATTCTACATGGATAAAGTTCTTATGGTAAGTTCTTTTAATACCTAGGCATTCTTTAAACTTAAGGTACCATGTTACATAAAAAATCTCACAGCAGTGGGTTTTACATTTGGTTATAAGTGTTCGTATTCCCATTTGTTTGATAGATGGTTTGGGTTTTCTTGCTTTTTGTGAGATACCTCTTTTTTTTTCTCTGGACATCTGGTATGTGGGAAGATACTTAAAAGCCAAATAAAAACCCAAATGTTGCTTTGTTTTCTGTTGCTGCCTGGGGGAGGTCTGTACTGCCAGCCAACAATTACTCTGAGTATTCCACATTGTAGCTATTCCTATTGCTGAAGAAGCAAACCTGTTTTTGGATTGAATTTTAAAAGCTAGAGGTAGAAATTCCAAATAAATCCTTAGCCTTTTCAGTGTCATCCTTCCATGTCATGTTGGTTTTCAAAACAACATTAGAGACTGTTTCTAGTATCTGGGTCACAAGAATTATCATTTCTGAGGATCTTGGGAGTTTGAACCTAGTTCCTGTGGTGCAGAACTTTGATACAGAGCTTTCCTCCATCTTTCAGGAATTTGTGGAAAACAGCAGAAAAGCAATGAAAGAAGCTGGCAGGGGAGGTGGACCTGAGGGCAGGGAGCTCAAACCAATGGTAGGTCCAAGAGAAGAAATGGCTGCTCTCATCCAAGAGTTTCAGTTATACTTCCTGTCCCTTTCTATTTTCACTGACTGTGCTTCTTCAGGAGAAGTCTTTGTCATTTGTGTCACTCAGAATGTTCTACTTTTTCTGTTTGTGAGCTTGCCTATCACCTGGATGGCAGAGTTTTTGTCACAGCTGAGACCATCTCCCATAAAAGTAAGCTGAAAGGAACTGTATCTTCATTCTTCTGTAACTTCATGTTTCTGTAACTTCAGAGCACAACTGAATTCTCTCAGTAAGGATGTTAGTAGTACTGACAGTGTCCTGGGGGTTATATAGACCCAGGAAAACAGGCCTTGCCTTGGAGCACTTCAGATATCAGACCCAATCAACAGAGTGCTTTCAGTCTTTTTCCTTCCTGGATGACATTGAACTTATCAGTAGACTTGATAGAATGTTACTGTGCTTTTATTGAAGAGTATGGCCTACACTGAGTAGCTGATAGAATGTTAGTATCGCCACATCTCATAATCGCTTGATCCCTCACACCTAAGAGGGTAAATGCAAGTCTTTGCCAACATGTTGGTAATGTCTTCTCTGCTTTGCTGCAATAAATACTTGATGTGTCTGGTTGAAGAATTCAGAGGTGATCAAGGAATGTCTCTAGATGCTGCACTTACTTATTCATTTCCATCTCTATAAACCAGCTCTCTTTACCACGCTTATGACACTTATTCATTTTTACACTTCCACACATTCCTCTGTCACCAAAGACATGGATACAGTTATTCCTTTCAACCGGCTAAAGCAGGGGTCTCCAAACCACTCTGAGGGGTCAGCGTCGCGGACCGGGGCAGCAGGCGGTAGGTCTCTCCCTCCCGGGGGGGGGGGTTGGCTCCTTTTGCGTGGGTCCATCTTCCCGCCTCCCTGCGTGTCATGTTCGAACAAGCCGCCATGGCTCCTCCATTTGTTTGGGGAGGGTTAATATTTTCAGGCAGTGGATAAGTGAAACTGTGGGTACTGATCCTGCAAATACTGTGGTCCAGCTGTATAGCAATTGAAAGCCAGCATGCAGGGAATATGGGGAAACAAATCTAACATGAATAATGGTTCCTCCCTGGCATTTCAGTCCAGAAACTGCCCAATGTACAGCTTTTACTGAAGAGAGATAATTTGAAGCATGTTATTTCTTAGTGGCATTTGCAATTTCATACCTAAAGAAACAATAAAAAAGCTGTAGTCATGGAGGGGGTAACCCTTTTAGATGAAAAATAAATAAAAATAAAAGAACAAATAAAAATGACAAAAATGTGGTGGCATTTTAAAGATTAACTGTTATATTTTTTCAGATATATACCCTTCAGTTATGGAAGGAAAAAGGAAGAGACAGGTGGACTATGAGTGCCAAATATTTAATTAAAAATGGGGCATGAAATACTTCTTTGTACAAGCCGTTGATAGAGCCTTGTGTGTCGTATGTAACAACACTGTTGCCATTTTGAAGGAGTACAACTTAAGTTGGCACAATGAGACCAAACATCAGTCAGGTTATTCCAAAATACACAGGTTCACAGCATTAAAAAAATTGAATCAATGCAACACAGCTTGCTTTCCCAACAATCTGTTTTTATGAAAGAAAAAACTGAAAATGAAGCTTTGACCATGGCCAGTTACAAAGTAGCTTATGGTCTGGCTAAAAGAGGAAAGCCATTCACTGACAGATGTCTCATAAAAAAGTGTATGATGGAAGTAGTGGAAGAGTTATGCCCAGAAAAAGCAAATCTTTTCAAAACATTGAGTCTTGCACCCAATACTGTTGCTTGAAGAATTGAAGCTGTAGAAGGCAATATAGCTGATCAAATTGTGGACAAGGCAAGAAGTTTCCAGTTCTGGTTCTCTCGCACTTGATGAATTAGCTGATGTGTGTGATACGTCACAGTGCCTAGTACAGTGGTGCCCCGTAAGACAATGTTAATTCCTTCCATTGAAATTGCTGTTTTGCAAAAACATTGTCTTGTGAAAAGTGTTTCCCCATTGGAATGCATTGAAATCCGTTTAATGCGTTCCAATGGGGAAAAATCGTCGTCATCCAGCGAAAATCGCCCATAGGGAAGCCATTTTGCGAAGCGCGGATCAGCTGTAAAATCCCTGTCTTGTGAAAAACGGAAGCACCGATCAGCTGTAAAAACCATTGTCTTGCAAAAAAAAAAACAGTCTGCGAAGCATGGACCAAATCGTCCAGCGAAATCCCCCATAGGAAAAACCGTTTTGTGAATTGCTATAGCAATTGCAAAAAGTCATCATCCTGCGGATTACCTGTTTTGCGGGGTAATCGTCTAGCGGGGCCCCACTGTATTCATCCATGACATCAACAGTGACTTTAATGTCACACAAGAATTAGCATAAATGCATAGCATGCACAGTACAACAAATGGAGATGACATCTTCAAAGATTTGCAAAAAACTGTGTCTGACTATAACCTGGAATGGAATAAACTGCAATGTGTGACAAGTGATGGAGGAAAGAACATGTCTGGATTGAAGAAAGGTTTGATTGGACAAATCACAAAAGTTTGTGAGGTTGGTGGATTCTCAGTGCCGATGTTTCTGCATTGCCTTATCCATCAGCAAGCATTGTGTGGAAAATATGTGGATATGTCTTGTGTCCTGAAACCTGTTGTTTCAACAGTTAATTCATTCGATCTCATGGGCTTAATCATCATCAGTTTTGTGATTTTCTGAAAGAAACAAATTCTGAGATCACTGACTTGCCGTATTACACAGCAGTTTGATGGCTTAGCTGTGAAAAGGTTCTATCACAGTTCTTTCAGCTCAGAAAAGAAATTGATTGATTTCTCACAGAGAATAATCAACCTCAACCACTTTTATCTGACACTGACTGGCTTTGGAAATTGGCACATTTTGCAGATGTTTCAGGCCATATGAACCAATTGAATCTGAAGTTGCAAGGTGAAACAAATGTAATTTGTAATCTCTTTGCACATGTCAAGGCATTCAGGGCAAAATTTGTGCTACTTCAAGTATAAGTGAAAGTTCGTAGCTTGGTTCATTTCCCATGTCAAAAATTTCTTGAAGAATGTGAAGCAGAATTTCCTTCTTCAGTTGCAACAAAATTAATTTCTGACTTGCAAAAACAATTTCAGGAACGATTTTCTGATCTTGATGGAAAAATAGATGAAATAAGTCTGATTCAAAATCCTTTTGACTGTGATGTTGAAACAGTCCAAAGTCAGTTTCAAATGGAAATTATTGATCTCCAGTCAGATGACAAGCTGAAAGACTAAAGAAGGAAATCTGATCCAGTTTTATAAATCTTTGCAGCCTGAGCAGTTTCAAAATTTGAAGTGATTTGCTTGCGGATTTGTGTCAGATTTTGGTACATGGTTGTGCGAAGAAACTTTCAAGAATGAAGTATGTCAAGTCCAACTATCAAGCCAGTTTTTCTAATAAGCATCTTCAATCCATTCTAATAATTGGCTCCTCAAGCGTGAAACCTCAGTTTAGAAATATTTTGAAATTAAACAATCAGTTCCATCATTCCCATTAATATTGTATACATGTACAAGTTTGTTGATCCAAATAAATCTTATTTGTTCATTATAAAACTGCCCCCCTTTGGTCCTCGAAAATGTGCAAAAATGTATGATGTGGCCCTCATACTGAAAAGTTTGGAGACCCTTGTGCTGAAGTAACATTTACCCCAGTTCTGCTTGTCTCTTTCTTTTATTTCTCTTTCTCTTTTTTGTTGTTGTGCCTTTTCTGTTATTAAATTATGCTTAATGGACAAATAATCAGTCCTGGCTCCCTTCATTTCATTCACTTCCTTATTTTAGTTTAAAATGCATTGATTTTAAGAGAGATGTCAAATTCATGGGTACAAAGAAAAGGCACAGAGAAGTGCCAGAAAGCCAAAAAGAGAGAGAGAGCAAATTTTGCTGCTATATTTCACGATAATACTAAAGTTGAAGCATCTCTATGTACATGCTGTTCTGTCTGCCTGCTTCAGTTTGTGGTTCTTGGGACTAGCTGATGAAATACAGTTAGGACAAATCTTGATAGTAACAGAAATGAATTTGGTATGAGTAATACATAAAAGTGAGCAAGTAATGCACAAATGTCCTTTCTCATGTAATCATTTCGAATATGTTTATAGTGACACACTCCAAGTGGGCATTTGTTTGCTCACATGTAGAACCCAGCTGGAGATGGGGTGTGCCTGACAGTGTCTCAGACTTTCACATTATGAGTGCAAAGTCTGCAGATAGCTCTGTATCTGGATTTGCTTGAAGGGGATTCCACAGCGCTGATGATCAGAGGAGACCTGAGGAGGCTAGGTTCTCCACCATAGCAGATAGGTCTCCATTTTCAACTGAACAGACCTTAGTCTGTGGGGCTCACATGCTCATTCATGTTCTCATCTCCAGTTTTTTTCTACATGTAAGCAGGTAAATGCCTATGTAGCGTTTATGTAGCTGCTGGCATAAAGAGCTTCCTTGACTAGTTTTGAAAACCTAGAGCAAATCAAGTGATTGCTTGCATATGTGAATAAGCCATTAGATGGGGAATTTTAACTTCTTAGGAGATTTCTTTTCACCAGTTTGCAGACAGTAGTATGACAGAGGAGACCTCTCTCCCTTTTGTGACAGCACCTTCCCACTGTTTCTGATTTAAACTATCATTCTTTTTTATGACTTAATGTAAATTATTCTTATGACACAACTTAAACCATGTATGGTTGGTTAGGACAAACCATGATCAGTCAGTGACTTAAAATCCTAGCTTTCTACTAGCCAGTGACTAGCAAATGTCAAGGGGTTCCCTCTTTAGCCATTCTGCCAAACCAACTTGTTGCTTCTGGGAGGAGGTGGGACCCAGAAAGGCTACTTGTGGTGATGAAACCAACCTGACACTAGCACACCAGGCCTTCCTGACTTGGCTATGCTTCCAGGAAAACCACTCTGCACTGGCAAACCCACCTTGCTATGTAGTAC